GTTGGTAAGGAAGAAAAGAGCCTCAGTGACAAATGAAAATGCCAGCATCGCATTAAAAAGAAGATGGTGAAGAATGCAAACTTCCCACATGTTTATGTGATGGGAAGAACAGAGTGAGTGGATTTTCTTGTGCAGTGTGAGGCACAGCGAGCTTATCCTGAGAAGCTTTTTGGCAGTGTGGGTGTGAAACTTTGAGAGATTCATGGCTCTTTGGCAGGTCTCCTGTGTGCTTGTGGAAGAACGTTGTAGGTTTGCGAGAGTCACGGGAGCCACAATTAACACCGGGCCCTTGTTCTGCTCGTGCAATCAGCCTAAAGGCCACCGGGAGACGGGGGTGACCCTTCCAGAGAGAGAGACACACTCCCGCAGGCTCCCTGGAGATGCACTCCTGCCTCCTAAATTCATGGCCAAGGGAAATTGCATTAGGTAAAAGAAATAGCTTGGGGTGGGCACCCTCATTGTCATGGCCGAGGGCTACATTCTGGGGTGGAGTGCTGGTTGGAGTGTTGGACTGGGGACCCTGGAGAGCCAGGTTCAAGGTGCCACTCAGCCAAGAAGAAGGTCACTGGGTGATGTTGGCCCAGTCTCTGACTCAGCCAGCCAACCTTGCAGGGCTGCTCTGTGAGCAGAAAATGGAGCTATGTAAGCCAGCTTGGGTTCTTCAAGAGCGAAAGCTGGGATATAATGCAAGGCAGTAATGACAATATTTCTGCCATGGCAATCTGTAGAGCCTGCACGTTGGTTATGGCAGGACCGGAACCAGCAGCATGTGCCTCAGTCCTCTTCTTGCTGCCATCCCTCTTTCTCTCCTCCTCCTTCTCAAGCTTGCAGGGAAGGGGAGAACACTTGAGGCAGAGGCCTGAACTGGTGTCCGCCAGCTGAGGGCTTTTGGAAACGGCCAGAAGAGGCACACATGGCCATAGCACTGCAGGTTGCCCACAGCCGGCATCGCTCATGCCAGCCCTGTGCCAGGGAGAGTGGGTCGGCTCCAGCCCAAATTTCTTGCGCGTGCATCATCTTGGTTTCTCTGTGATGCATCCCCAGGGAAGCACTTTTGCCCCTGTCCTCCAGACCAGGGGGCTTCTGGATGGAACATTTGTTGACTCCTGTGTCTGCAACTCACTAATAAAACGGTCTTCTCCGAAGCCTCATATGCCGAGTCATCAACGTTTGAATGAGGCATCGATCCATCTGCATAGTTGCCAGAGGCTCTCTTCTCACAGAACACATCAAAAGCCAGACACCATATTTATTTGTTTATTGCACATACACAAGTACTTCCAGTAGTGTGTCTCAATCTCATGATAGCCACAATTGCTGATTGTTGCAGAAGTCTTTGTCACAGCATAGTATATACTGCTCAGCCTTGCGGCGATACCTCAGAGTACGGCAAGACTCACTGCAGCCGTATTCCACGTACTTTACCTTGCGGTCTGGACAAGGAAACCAAGATAAAGTATCATTCCTCATGGAGCCATGCAACACCACAGTTCAGAAACACATTCTCCAAAACCATCATGCCCCCTGCCAGAAAGGACCAGTTGAATTAAAAAAGAAACAACTGGTTCATTGGCACCAGGTGACACACCTCCAGCTCTTCGGCATTAATGGTCTCCTGGCCAGAGAGAGGAAAGAGAGCCAGTTCTGGCTGTCTGTAGCTCCCAACCCAATCTGCGTAACATCCAAGCAGATGCCCTGAGCAGGGATGTGCAAATCAGCAGAATCCCAGTCTGCTAAAGTTCTGCACACCTGGATCCTCGGCTCTGAGGCCAGAGCTCTGCTCCCGCAAGCCCAGTTGGTTCAGGAAGAACTCGGCCAGCTGTCCCTCTGAGGCTGGGGATGCGACCTCAGAGCAGGCTTCCCTCCCTTCCCCACTTTCTGTCCTCCCTCTCCAAAACACCTTTGCTAAGAGGAAGGTCAAGATCTCTTCTTGCTGATGCCAGAGTGTAGGACACGGAATAATCAAGTCAAGTTGTGACAACCCAGATTCAGGCTGGGCGTCAGGAAAATCTTCCTCACTGTCAGAGTAATACAATAGTGCAAACTGCTACCAAGAGAGGTGGTGGGCTCTCCCACACGAGAGACATTCAAAAAGGAACTGGACAGCCATCTGGATGGGATGGTGTAACTTGGTGTGCTGCAACAGCAGGGGGTTGGACCCGATGGCCTTCATGGCTCCTTCCACCTCTACTATTTTGATTCTGTGATTCTCTCTTATATTCACCCACCTTGCCTCCGTTTGTCAGGAGAATGAAGAAGGGCCTAAGACAATGATCCTCATGTTCATACGGATAAGCATGGAAGTAGACACTGCTTCAGGCAACCTGGCCCTAAGCTGATTAAAGCTTTAAAGGGAAAACCTGGCACTCCAGAGTGGGCCCAGGAATGGTCTGGTAGGCAGTGGAGACAGATGAACAAGCAGCAGCTGACTATTTTCCCACCATTTTCAATGGTTGCCCCATATATTGTTGGACTAACCTTTAACTACCATCCGGCTGTAGCAGAATTGTCCCTTTCCTGCATTGCAAAATCCTTTAACATAGTTACATGGGTAATCAGGTTGTGGACTGTAACATTGGTGGCATCTGAGAGTTTCAACTGGGGAAGAACGAAGAAGAGAAAACATTAAGAAACTGCCTTATGGAAAAATCCCTTCTAGAAGCAGAAAAAGCACACCTTTGCAGAGGATAGCACATAAATATGATAAAAAGGCAACAGCCATTTTTGCACTGGATTTTTTAGATGCTTAGAAAATGCTTCTTTACTCAAGGCCAGTTGAGTACACACTAGATGGAATAGAGTATTGGCACTTTCTCTCACTCTCTTTCTTGATTTTTGGCACTTTAGTTGTAATGCTTTTAAGGTGCAAAGTTTTTGTTGATATTGTTCTTGGGGTCCATGATGACTAGAAAGCATGCTTAATGTATACTAACTAAATGCACTTTTAAAACTCTATGTTGCCTATCCCTGCTTTACAGAAATCAACTGCTACAGCAGTTTCAGATGAGGACAACCCTGAACAAGCTGAGGTTTCTCCACATCCCTTCACTCCTGTACTTACTCAGGGTGCAACAGTAGAGAAGGACTGAAAGCTCGACAAGCACTTGGTTCATCTTGACTCTTGAGCCAATGCCCTGGCAGAAGAAGGACGGCTGCAGGATCGGAGGAAGACTCGGGTCTCCTGAGCTCTGCTACGTACCTTGCCAGTGCCTCCGAGAGGTGGGCAGAGACGGATGTAAAGCCTCTGGGAGGCTGAGCTCAGGCCTGTGCTCGGACAGCCCATATTTCACTTTTGAGCAGAAAAGTACGAGCGACTGCAATCTTATCAGCCAGGCTTTTGCTGAACTTTTAGAGTGCTCTTCACTTCATGGATCAGAGGTTTAATGCAGACAAAATGAAAATTGTCCTGAGGGGAAACCTGCCACACACACAAGCAAGCCAATATCTACAAATTAGAGGCACTGTGGAAATCCACAAATGCATCTGAGAGTTTGGTTGTCTGTGACTCCGGCCTGTGATGCACAGATTTGACAGATGTGCTTATCAGGCTTCTTTTCCCACCTCTGAGAGGAGGGGAGTTTGCTCAAATGCGCTTTTATGCTAATGTGCATCAGTGCAAGTCCACATTAATGCTAACAGGCAAGGCTGCTGAGCACTCCTGCTAATGTGCTTTGTGCCAGTGGGATGGCATTCTCTTACGGTACCAACGAAAGACGGAAAAAGAAGAAGCTGGAGCTGTCCATGAGCAGATGATGGAACAGAGGAGACCCAGCAACCCAAATCTGTGTCTCCATAGTACAATTAGACAAAGGGGCGAATCGAGGGATTTGAACATGAGCAAGAGCGCCTTTCACAGAAGGAGGACAGGTGACATTATGTTGGTGAGGGCCCTCGGACCGGAAACACATTTTCCTCACAGTTATTCCTCATGAGACACTTCTAGCACTGGGCCAGTCCGTTGGTCCACCTACCTCAGAACTGCCAACACTGATTGGATATCAGCCAGGCATTTTCCAAACCAAGCTGGAGATGCTGCCCATTGGCCATGGTCCTTCCACAAGCATTTGTGTACCACCTGAACCTCAACCCTTTCCCTGTGAATGTATCATCTTTTTTACTATTATTTTCCTCTGTGCTATTGACTTATAAGAGTTGGGGACATTCCCCAGAATCTAGGTGAATGAGCCCAAGATGCAGAGGGAGTAAAGGAAAAAGAAGGGAGGATGGAGGAGAGGAAGGAGGTAGAAGGGGCTTGTCGTGCGTGGACTGAGCAAGTGGCCAGGAGAGACGCTCGACCCAAAGCTGCATGTGCGCTGCCAGTCCTTCCCTGCGAGGCCAGCGGGAATGGCCACCTCCCGAGCACCTCCCTGCCCTTCTCTCTCTTTGCAGTAGCTGCTCACCCTCACCGGGAGCTTTCCAGCATTTTCTGCTTGGGTGCTTTAGCAGAGGGCCCGTTGGTGCAATTTGGATCATGGGAGAGTTCTGACATCAAGCGTTCTTTTGTTGAAATCGGTGTGTGCTCCTTTGTTTCAGCCATTCAGCACATATTAGGTCGGGGTCCCCCCTTGCCGTGCTGTGCCTCCCTCTAGGACTTGGCCTTCGGCACCAAGTTTGCCCAGTTTCCCCTCCGCCTTGCTCAGATCTTTATGTAATTTCTGGTTCATTAACAGAAGGGCGCGATTAGTTTCTCCACCAAGCGTTCAGCCGCAGTCTTGCACTGGATGGACCCTGAATGGTCCTTTCTCCGGCTGCAGCTGATCATGAGACTGAAGCTCATTCCCATTCCCAGTCTGACGATTTCTCCGGGGCCTCCCCGTGACTGCTCCCTTCTGCCAGGGAGTCAAAGGATGAACACCTCTCCCCCTCACTTGGGAACGAGCCCAAATGACCTGACTGGGTCTTGAATTTGAGCAGACATGGATAGGGTTGTGCTGCAGATTAAGTTGCAGTTTTTTTTTGGGGGGCCAGAGAAGAGAGGGGAGCAGCGGGCATCTTGCATGATGGCCTGCCTCACAATTTATTGCACCTTGGTGCCTGGCTCCAGGGAGATCAAATCCCAAGAGGGTGAAGTGACCAGGAACTTGAATAGAAAGCAGATCAAATATAGCCTGGTGAATATCTCCCAGGATAATGACCACCCAAAAGCCATCCCTCCCCAGGTTTTCAATGGGGACCACTTCTGTGGAGACTATGAATGGATTGTGGGAGCACTGGGACAGAACGTCCTGCTGGAATTCCTGAAGTTAGCTTGAGTGCGTTTCTTCCTCAACCCCATTTCTTCTTCCACCCCAAAACCCCCTACCCCTGGACTTTGCATTCTGCATTCCTAATGGCTCGCCACCTAACTTCCTAGGTGCTTGTCATCCTTTCCCAGCGCTGTGAGACCAAACCTCTTTCCAGCTGCCTCCATGTTCTGTTACCTGCGTCCCTCTCACTGTTCTCTTCAGAGACTTTGCACATTCCTGTGAATGCCCCTGGCCTTCCTGCTCCAGTCTCTGTGGATGGAGAACTCTTTCCAATGTCCTTGGCTGGAGATGGAGCTGTCCCCAGTCTTTTCTCAAGCTAACCTTCTCATGGAAAGGAAAGGGTGGGCTTTTTTACCACAGGTTGCCCTTCCGTTTGGCTTCTGCACTTCTTCCATTCTGACCCAGGAAGCAGGTGTCTACTATCATGAGAATAGTTTTTCTTACAGCAATGCAAAAACACTGCACAATGTTGTATGCTGAAATTCCTGCCTCTGCCAGAGAGGTAGGTGGACATCTATACCTGCCAACTACTTCAGTGCAGCTTAGGCCCTCTTAGAAAAGGAATTTTCAAGAGGATGGTGAGAGCAGATCTTGTATTCCATGAGTGCATTCCCACCCCAGTTTGGCAGTGGGAAAACTCTCCCTCCTTCCTCACGGCCAGGGGAGCACACATATAATTTGAAGTCTAGTCTTGCAGCAGCTGTTCTAGGCTTTCTTTTTTGGAACCAGCTCTTTGCAATATGGACCAAATGCATTTTCATTTTTTTTCCTTGCTAAAGCCGGTTTGTAAATGGCCAGCTTTTCTGAGATGCTATTAAATGTTGCTAAAAACCTCAAAAAATGTGTGGCTTTTGGGACCACCTGTGTAGAGTGTGACAGTTTGTATAGACCACATAAGCAATGGGCAATGTGTGGATCTGAGATGTTGTTGGATTGCTCCTCCTCCCATCACTCCGCATGAGCTGTGCTGGCTGGGGCTGATGGGAGGAAAGGAAGGGCTGATGGGAGTTGCAGGCTACCAACACTGAAAGCCACACAGTTCCCATACCTGGATGGCATCATCCCTTCTCCTTTCCAGCAGGGCGTTCCTGTGATGTTCAGCTCATCCCATTGCCTATAAGGGGGTCTCCTGCTAAAACCCAAGATCAAAAAGTATCATACCCTTGGCTCAACCCACTCATTCTTCCTGCAAAAGCCTCTGCATGATCTTGGTTTCACTGTGAGGCAATCCCAGGTAAGTCCTTTGCCTCTGTCCTCTCCTGTAAGGGAATTTTGGGTTAGAATGTTTGTTGACTCTCATTTCTGCAACTAGCTAAGAAAACAGTCTTCACTGAAGCCTCATAGGCAGAGTCGTTCAAAGTTTCCATGTCTGCTCGAGGCTATTTTTTCACAGAACACATCAAAAGCCAGAAGCCTCATTTATTTATTTATTACATGTGTATAAGTACTTTGAGCAATGAGTATCAATTTCTGGATTTCCAGAACTTCTGATTGTTGCAGCGGTCTTTGACACAGCAGAGCATATAATGCTCAGTTTTATGAAGATTCTTGTATCTCACAGTACGACAAGTTCCACTGCAGCCATATTCCACATGTTGTAAATGGCCACCTGGACAAGGAAACCAAGAAAGAGAATCTTGGGGATTCTAGTCTAAACATCTGGAGGACATAAGATGGCAGAAGAATGGTACACTTTTGCTCCCTCTTACTTACAGTTGCTATGGAATAAATTGAATTTACTTACTGGCCAAAGCAACCACAGTTCCCTGGGTGGTATAAAATGCATTGGCACCACACAGTAAACATTAAAGCAATACATAGAAATGCCGCAGAAGAAACCCAGATAAAACTCATATCAAAGAAATGGGCCATTGCTGCATCATAAATCCAGTTAAAACCAGCACCGGAATATAGTGCTAACAGATTTGAAAATGCCTGGGAGATCTTCCGCTAGCTGTAGAAAAAGCATGATGTGAATCCAGGTAAACTTCTTCAGGGAGGGCATTTTCAACACTGAAAAATCCCTTTCTTTTATCCACCCGCCTTGCCTCCATTTGTCGGGAGAATGAAGAAGGGCCTAAGACAATGATCCTCATGTTCATACGGATAAGCATGGAAGTAGACATTGCTTCAGGCAACCTGGCCCTAAGCTGATTAAAGCTTTAAAGGGAAAACCCTGCACTCCAGAGTGGGCCCAGGAATGGTCTGGTAGGCAGTGGAGACAGATGAACAAGCAGCAGCTATTTTCCCACCATTTTCAATGGTTGCCCCATATATTGTTGGACTAACCTTTAACAGTCAAGCGGCTATAGCAGAATTTTCTCTTTCCTGCATAGCAAGTTTTTTGAATATGCCTACACACGTTGTTAGGTTGAACATTTCGACAGTAGTTGCATATGAGAGCTACAGCTGGAGAAGAAAGAAAACATTTGGCTTATTGCAAAATCACTTATTGAAAGAGAAGATAACACATAAATGCAAGAAAGAGGGAATGGCCATCTTTGGGCTACAGATGAATGATTCTGCAAATACAGTTGGTGCATGTTCCAGAAAAAGAAGTGAATGTATAGATTCTAACATGCACCACCCCAGTCACTCAGAACGTCATGTCAGAAGCTATGGAGGAATTGGCAGAACAAGGCATACTAGTAGCTCCGAAGGAGTGGCAACCGAGATTCCTGAATTCCCTCTCATAGGAGAAGCACTCAACTTCTGCACTGTTTAGCTGCAGATGGATAGAGAACGCTTCTTTAGCAGAGGCCTGTTGAGTACACCCTAGATGGGACAGAGCATTGGCACTTTCTCTCTCTCTCTCTTTCGTGCTTTGTGGCACTTTAGTTGTAACGCTTTTAAGATGCAACATTTTTGTTGATATTTTTCTTGGGATCCATGATGTGTAGAAAGCATGAGGTGTAAATATTTAGAGTATAATAACTGACATGTTTATATTATACTAATAAAGTATAATAAGTAAATACATTTTTAAAACTAGGTCTGGCTCTGTATCTACTGTACATACGGGAATGAAAAGCTTATGATGAGGAATTCTAAATTGGACAGAAATATGGCAGATATATCTATATCTATATCTATATATGTGGATGTTGCAGATATCGCCTTTCTTTTGCACCCATGATTTTTGTGGAAACTTCTGAAATCAGAATTGCTTGTATGTGGGGGTGTAACGGTTGGCTGAATGGGGTGATGCACTGCATCACATTACAAAGGCATCGGTGGAAGTTTTTGATGGTGAGCTGCCCTCTGCTGACAACCACCACTGCTTACTGGAGTCTTCTGTAAGCAGATTTTTTCATGGCTGTCTTTTCTTCATTCAGAGTTTGAAATTTTGATCTGCAGGGCAACTTCAGGCAGCTGCAGCCATTTTCAAAACCTGACAGTGCCATCCTGTGCATGGTTATCCTGAAATAAATACCACTGCATTCAGTGATGCTTTCCTTCCAGTAAGTGTGCTTACATTCGCTGTCCGAGTTCAAATTATACCTATTGCACCAAGTGTGCTCTGCAGTTCGAATAAGGAGCAAACTCGCACAGACATATTCGTTTAATCTCTGATGCCACCCATTTCTCAAAAGCAATCACTCCCTTTATGCAGCTATGTATTTTAACATCATAGATTTATACAATACTAATTTCATAAACTCCCATTGAGAGATCTTTCTCTTCTGGGACTAATCATTCACAGTTTTCTGGATCAGATGACCTAAAATGTTGTATCTGCTTAGAGAGTCCTCAATCTAGTTAATAGCAGAATATAACTTGATTACTTAATTAAGCTCTTTGCAATGGCTTTGGTGCTAATAGGCTACATTTTTCACATTTGTTTCCCTTGCCCCGTGACTTACCTACAGCCAGGTACAAAAGTACTAAGATAGCTATCAGCAGAACTTTGCCCATCTTTCCTTTCCTTCTTCCAAGCTAGGAGGAAGAGAAGTAAAGTGCTTCATTTAAATAAAAAGACCCAAAAACTTCCCACACTGGATGATGGGAAACAGAAGGTGGGCAGATTTAATACTGCACCTGCGATCCATTAAGCTGACTATTAGAGCCTCATTTTCCATGAGGGTGTGGAACATCTAGAGACTCATGAACATCTGTCAGATGCATAGCTGAAGCATGGTTTCGGTGTCAGGACTGGAATAATAACTTCAATGTTATTCTTGCTCTGCTTTGACAGCATATTGACCCTCCTTGGAGTCTGAAAGAAGCAATTTTGCTGTTATTGATCCTTCCCAGCTACATGGATATGTCTTCTTCTACAGGGAAGAACAGGTCACCGCCCTCCTCCACATGACATCCCTTCACATACTTGTAAGTCACTAAAAGATCCCCTTGGAGCCTCCTCTTCTCCAGGCTGAAAAGACCCAGCTCCCTCAAGCTCTCCTCATATGTCACCCCTCCCAACCCAGCTGCCATTCTTGTGTCCCTGTGCTGAATCACTTCTGACCTAGCTATGTCTCTCCTGTAATGTGGAGCCCAGAACAGGACACAGTGCTCCACTTGTGGGTGCACCAGAGTTGTGTAGAATAGTATCAACACCTCCCTAGATCTGGAAGCCACACTTCTGGCTATAAATCCAGGGGTGGCATTTGCCTCCTTAACCACTGCATCACACTGCTGGTTCATGTTCAGCCTGCTGTTGACAAATACCCCGAGATCCCTTTCACAAGTGCACATCCTGTACCTGTGACACCTATTCCTGTGCCCAAAGTGCAAGACCTTGCACTGATCCATATTGAACACCATCTGGTTGTCCCCCACCCACTTCCACAGTCTGTCTAGATCCTTCTGGATCTGGATCACCTGCTCCTCAGTTGTGGCCACCCTCCCCCTCAGAAACACACACTTTGGTATCATTTGTGAATCTAGTTATCTCCTCCTCCAAGACCACATCTGCCAGAAGCCTAGATTGGCTGTTGCACCCTAACATGAAGTTTCCATTTGTCTGCAATACATGTGGGTATGACCTGTTTGAAGCTCTGAATGAGTTGGTGAGGCCAGGAGAAGGAGG